TTTCAGTTTGAATTATATATAATTTCATATTGATACTTTAGAGGTTTAAATTTGGGCGAAAAAGGTATTTTAACTCATTTATTTTTTATATTGTTGAGATTAACCCCGTAACTTTTTTCTGCAATATTTAAATCCTGTCACTTATATACTGAAATAAATTAACTCATATACTTTTTCATTAAAATAAATTAGCCCAAATCTAACGTATGACATCTTAAAACGTCAATTTTTCGTGAAACCATCTATTCATCTCTTTCCTTTCTCTTTCTTCTTCCCTTTCTCTTTCCTCTACCTTTGCTGGGTTACAGAGCTACTAGGTTCACAAGGGTTGCAAAGTTGCTAGGTTCACAAGGGTTGCAGAGCTGCTAGTTCACAAGGGTTGCAGAGCTGCTAGGTTTAATTCGCTATGTTCAATTGAACCCAACAAATCTCTGGGTTTGATACACAACAAATTCGCTGGGTTCAAAAACCTGTTGGTGGTGGTGGTGTAGTGTTGTGGTAGTGTTGATCACGACTCAGAAAGCCAAGATTTTCCTTGCTACAACTTTGGATAGGCTTCTTTGTAGTTTGTGTCAGTTTGAATTATGATTAAGTTGGATGAGATTTGGAATGCAAGGTTCCCAATCTTGACATTTTTGGCTGTGTAAAGGATTTGAAGCGACTAGAAGAAGATGGGTTTGAATCGTCAAGAGGAAATTTTTAAGCATTCACGATCTCTACTCTAATGGCAATTGTTCCATGATTCTCTAGAGCAAAGAAAAGAGAAGAAATACTATGAAAACAGAAGAGTGGAAAGTGAGAAGAGAAGGAAGGAAATAAAATACAAAGGGCTGAGAAAGGAGAATTGCAAAAAGAAGGAGAGAAGAAATAATCAAAACCCAGCAAAGCGAACCTCGAGTAGCTCCATTGGGTTCTTTTGAACCCAGCAAGCCTCGAATGAGGTAATTTTGTTTGATGATGATGATGAAGAATTAATTGATCTCATTGATTGATTGTTTGATTTAGAATGAATAAAGAAGATTTAAGGAGGAGGATGTTGAGGAAGAAGATGAGTGCAAAATTGTAAATTTGATGGATTGAATAATTATAAAAAAGAAGTCCATATCATACAATTTCATTAAATTGGGTCCCACATGTGCCAAGTCATCAATGCATTAATAGTAAATAATTGAGTTTCACACAAAATTGACATTTCATGACGTCATACGTTAGATTTGGGTTAATTTATTTCAATGGAAAAGTATATGAGTTAATTTATTTCAATATATAAGTGACGAGGTTCAAATATTACAGAAAAAAGTTGCGAGGTTAATCTCAACAATATTGAAAAGTATATGGATTAAAATATCCTTTTTCGCCTTTAAACTTGTGATTCTACTCATCATGGATGGATTGAGTTGGGTTGGGTTTTCGAATTAAATCCAAATTTATCAAGTCTAATAAAAGTAGAAAACTGTGTATGCAACATGGTAGTAGTCGTGATGGCAAGAAATTGCCATATTAGTGCTAACATGGCAGCAGGTAACAGAATTTTAATGAGCACACAATGTTATCATTCATTCTGAGTTCTTTCATTTAGGTTGAAAAGATAAGGGATTAAGATTTTCACATTATAAGTTAAGGGGCTGATACTCTATAGTTAGTAAGGTGAAGGGCTGGCTATAGATTTTCGCCTCCCATAGACCGTCATCAGTGATTCAGCCAACACAGGCTCACCAATAGCCGAAAAAGCAAAAGACAGAAACTCCTTCCCCGAGTCAAGCATTATCCAATCCATCAATCAATCATCATGTCTGGAAAGATGGGAAGTGTGATCATCGCCGTCGACGGTAGCGAGGAGAGCATGGCCGCCTTGAGATGGGCGCTCGACAATCTCAAGCTTCGGACTCCTGCGCCCGATTCCGACGAAGCCCCTGGTACCTTCGTCATCCTCCACGTCCAGTCTCCACCCAACATCGCTACCATCCTCAACCCCGGCAGCATCCCCTTCGGTGGACCCAGTTAAACTCCTGTCCTTTTCTTGTGATTAATTTGTTCGAAGAAATTAAAGTAAAGCAGTCTTGGATTGATTTTTCATTTTGAATTAGGCGCTGCGGAGCTGGAGGTGCCTGCGTTCACTCAGGCGATAGAGACGCACCAGCAGAGAATTACAAATGCGATCCTTGATCGTGCTTTGGAGATTTGTGCTGGGAAGAATGTAACTCAATCTGGAGCTATGAAATGCTTTATCTGTGTATAATTTATAAATTTCATTAATCCAGAATTTAATCTTAGTAATTTAGAGCTTCAATTTCCTTTGCAGGTGAATTACAGAACCGAAGTGTTAATTGGTGAGCCGAAGGAGAAAATTTGTGAAGCTGTTGAGAATCTGCACGCTGATTTGCTTGTGATGGGTTCCCGTGCTTTTGGCCCCATTAAAAGGTACTGACTTTGTGAAAAGTCTTTCTTTAGTTGTCAATAGGAAACTCTTTTATGCAGAATTCGCCTGCGCATATTGTTGGTGGCTTGTAGTAAATGCTTACTAGTTCACTCAAACCCTTTTGGATTTCATGAAAGTGTGCATTAAGGTCATTAGGATACTATAGCCTATACTAGGCAGCAATGTTGAAGTGGCTTGATGGGAAAACAGACTGTCTTCCTTTGAGAGGATGCCTGCTTGACATAGACGTGATATACTGTCAAGAGAACCAAAGCTGCTGTAGGGCTACCAATTACCATCAAAGATTTGGCACATACCTTTCTCTTTTAGGTCTGTTTAGACGTTTAGTTCTATATAACAACTCCTCCAATGGGTTGGTGAAATGATGTGAGCTCACTCTTTGGAAAACGGTCTTACTGAAGATAGGACAGAGGGATCAAAGATAAAGATAAATACATGCTTCCTTACTTTGGGGGACAATTGGACAACAAATGTTCGCAGTTAGTTAATCATTTGCCTTTTTAATTTTTCATTTTTTTTTTTTGAAATGAAAGAAAATTAATACATATTATGTAAATGAGAATTAAAAAAAAAATTTCATAAAATTCAAACACATAATTTACAGCGGAGGTGAGGTGATTCACACTTATCCTTAAACTAAACCATTAGGCCAGACCACAGGAATCAGTTAATTATTTGCTTTGTTATTTGGGAAATGACACTTTTTGATGTGTCCATGAAGTGACATTAGAAGCCTGTTATTTTTTTTTTATTATTCCATAAACTCCATCATGCGATCCGATGGGCTATGCGCCTCAATAAAAGGGTGGAAGATCACCACCTGTTCTAAGATTGAATTCTCATTTACTAACAATTCCTAACCTAATTACTAACCATTACCCTTGTAAGAAAAAAAAAAAATTATTCCATTCAGCTGCATAGTCAAATTCCACGGCAGAGGTTTTGACATTTTGAGTTTTTTCTTTTTCTGTTTTTTATGATGACATGGGATTGACAAATTGGTAAAACTGAGTTGTTAGATATGAAAGCTAGAACAAAATGCCTTATGATTCATCAAAATGCTGAATAATGAAACTTATTTGTGTTAACAGGATGTTTCTGGGAAGTGTAAGCAACTATTGTCTGAATCACGCACAATGTCCTGTTTTCGTAGCTAAGCACAAGGACAACTCCTCTTAATTAGCAGGTATGAGACAATCCATGTCATCATAATTGAGCTTCATCTAGTTCATTTCCATCCATAAGCTGGTCAAATAAAAACATAGGACAGTCATTATAAACAACAAAAGTTTCATCCAGTTCAGTCCCATATTTTGGCTATAACACCAACTTCCATGTTAGTTTGCCTATGCACATGCAAGACTTCACCTTCACGTTGGGGAATCATATCCGATTGCTTACATCTTGTGCTAATATTGTTAGACAAAGTTGAGTGGATCTGTGTGGCACTGACTGCTACTACTTTTCTTTGTACGGTGGAGTTGTTTTGATTTGAAGTTTAGGCTTCTCAATTACAAGCTCTGCTGCCTCTTCTATTCCGTTTTGATAGAAAACTTCTAGCATACCCTCCTATTGTCTTTGTTAATCAAATGATGATACTATATTAATTCTTTTAGTTCATGCAATTATATTGTCCCATGTCCAAATAATATTTGTAATTTGCTAAACCAGTGATTCAGAGATAGGCCTCATGAATCGTTTATAAATAATTAAAAACTTTCCATTAATGTTTGGAGGAGGGTGCGAATTTTATTATTCTTTTATTTAAAAATGAAAGTTTTATTAATTTTTAAATAAAATAATAAATTTTTTATTTTTTATTTAAAAATATTAATTTTACATTTATTCTTTTCAAAAATTAATTAAATAATGAGTAAAGCTAGTAATTCACTGGTCAACGGCCAGAATGGGGAGATGAAGACAAAGAAGCTGGTTTCTGAACAGCGTAACCTCGTGAACCTGGTGTGGACTCTGCCTCTTCCAATTATAAATTAATATTGAGTTAAGAATGAAAGATTTTGTCTCTTCATTCTCCATGTGTCCATTTCTCAGTTCTGAAATTTAGAAGCAGCATTTTTCATCGGATTGGACTGAAGTGATTCATGCCTTTTCTTTCTTTCTTTCTTTCTTTCTTTCTTTCTTTTTTCCTATTGGTAAATTGAGATGTGCTTCATGCTAAATGAACAATTAAAGATTTTGGAAGCTAGTAACTTTAATGTTACGGTATTAAGGAACATAAAGAAGGTTAAGGAACCTATTTAGGCAGCTTTGCAAGCCTATACTGTATAGATATTCAGTTGCTTTAACACTTAAAATATTTGGGGATATTTCCTCAGAGAGATATTTCAACGTTCAAGTCAACAATATTCTACGTTTAGGGTCAGAAGCTTCTAAGAAAAATAATTATGAGAGATAAGCGTAGTGAAGTTATTATTTTACACGAAAATAGATAAAAGTATTTATAGTCCCTATTAATGATAGAAGTTCCATGTGTAAATATTTTATAAACTCGCATGTCACCATCTACATGGATACATCTCGATGAGAGTGTACACATTGAGGGTTATCTTTAGACACCTGTACATGTAAACGGGCCTACTGTACAAGACTCGCTGTGGGTGTTGGGCCTGCTTCCCAACAGAACCCATTAAGTAGAAGCACAAACACTAATATGTATCATTTATTCTCACGATCATGATGTTAAATGAACAATCTTTTGTGAACCGGGCCTGAGGCCCAATGGTTCGCCTCCAAGCTTTAGTGCTTGGGTGAGACAGAGGTCAGGGCTTCAAGCTCTGCCATCGCCGTGAACTCCACCAACTTGTTGCCTAATGGTCATGCGCCTCATTTGAGGGGGTGGAATGTTCACTATTCTAAGAATCTCAGTTGCTAACAACTAATTTTACTAACTTCCTAATCATTACTCTTATAAAAATAATAATAATAATAATAAATGAACAATCTTTTGAATTAGGTCTTCGGATCTAATGATTTATCTTCAATCCTTAATGTTAAAAAATGCGTGGTCTCTCAATCTTTGACCCATTTTACTAACACAACATGCAAACTTGAATTCACGATATGTTATTTCCATTATAAACAATTAACTGATATATTTAAATCATTTACATGATATTAAAGTGCTAATATCAAGAGTTGTGTTGCTATTTTGTTATGAGATTTATGAAATACAGACATTTTTCACCTTACAAAAATCTCTGTAAAGGGGACTCAGATTCTGTCGCCCCTCTGGCATGGGCTTGTGAACTGGTAACTCTTAACAGAATCAAACAGATGGTGGGTCAGATCCATCAACACTGCAGTACTGCAGAGTCTTTCTTAGCCCGTGACCTACCGCATCTCGTGTTCGGCCCACGTACGGACAAAAATCTGCATAATATTCCAGGAGGGCGCACCCTTAAAACAAGAGCTTAGAAGCTTTCCCCTTACGATAATGCCATTCAATTTTCCAAATATTTCCATTATGCCACTCCACAACTTAACCAAAGCCTTCGTTTCCACTTCTTCCACGTCAGAAGAAAAAGGTTCTAAATACTAGCACCTGCACAATGGCAGTTTCGTAATTGGGTTAGATAATAAGGTCAACTTTCAAATGCTGGAGCTTTATTTGAAAACGACATTCTTCGGCGCATTCTGCAGGGATGATTTTATCCCTTCTGTCCGGAACTTGGCCTCATCTTCTCTTTCCCATCCTTCCTTTCGGAATCCCCCCATTGTACCCACTTGCAAGTTGAG